AAAGATATCGCGCTCACGGCCTCGGAAGATATCGAAAGGCGTGGAAACTTAATCTAACAACTGCGAAGATTTTTGGGGCTCTCGCGCAGGACCGCTAGTTCTGTACGCGGTAGCCGCTAGCATCGGTGCGCTTCAACCCCAGACAACGGGACCGCCTAGGTTCGCGAATGAACGTGCCAGACTATAGGGAAAAGAGGAGGAACAGCGCACCAACGAGATGCGGATTCTTTACGAATTCGGCCGAGTACGGGTAACAGCCGTTGTGGCCGCTCGGAAAAGAAGGGCCAAAAAACGGCAGACGAGAAGGGGCTCGAAAGAGAGCGCACCTTCCCTCTTCCTCCGATCGAAGTAGGGCTTCACAGTCGCGGTTCCACGGTGTTCCAATTAAGGTTCGTTAAAGCTTAATTAGAACGCACCCTGCAAAGCGCCCCTCCACGGCGTTTCGCTTCCGTAGCACCGTCGCCTGATTGAGAGGCTGCTATAGCGCGGCAGCAGCAATCGATGGGGGAGGAGTGCACGAAACGGCGACATCGGGCGCATACTAAACATGCTACCCTCGCACACCTCTCGATAGTCATTCGCCGCACAGTGCCGCTGCACGATCCAAGCGAAGCTCCACTCCAGCAGGCGCCGGAGCGCGCAATCTGTTGCGGTGGCCCCCGATAGTTGATAATGGCTGCAGGCGCGCGCCGCCCAGGTGGCGTCCACGAAGGGAGCGGGGCCCACGTTGACTTCCCTTGATCGCCGAAATCCGTGACGGGAAAGTCAACACCGCCTAACCACCGCGAGCGCCGTTCACGTGCTACGATTGCTCCCGAAAAGAAGACACTCTGACGCCGCGTCTGCAGCTCGTGGGGCCGCTTTTATATAACGGCGGATTAAGGATGTTAGCATTCCCACCACTGCTAGCTAGAGCGAGCATAACACGATTTGGTGCCTCGTCAGCTGGAACCACGTCAAAGCGATCACGAGTGCATCGTGATCTGTAACCATCGAACAAGCAGGGTTTAGCTTTGTCGCTTTGCCCGAATGAGAAAAATACCATACATAAAGGCAGCGGCGAACATATTAGCGGGAGAGGACTGGGAAGTGCTATGATATTCAATCATCACTATCAGCGCAACAGCCTGGCTACGCCCACTGCAGGGCAAATGCCTCTCTCATGATCCGCCAACCAACCCGGTCTTGTGCGTTCTGCTGCCACGTTATACCGGCGAACCTTTGAATCTCATCGGCCTACCCAACTTTCTGTCGCCCCCTCGTGCGCTTGCCATTTCTGGAAATCCAGTCAATTAGCCTTAATGACCAGCGGTTATCCTGCCATACTGGGTTTCACATGGGCCGAGTACGAAATTCTTATTGATTTCAACTATAATAATATCTTTAACCCCGGTTTGTTCCCTGATCCACCCTGCTCTTTTCTTGTCTCTTAAAGTTACACCTATCATTTTTACTTTCCATCGCTCGCTGCATCGTCCTCAATTCGAATTGAACCCTCTTTGTAAGCCTCCAGGTTTTTGCTCAGTAGGCAAGTAACGATGAGATGTAACAGTTATATACCTTCCTCTTGAGTGATAGACCACCATTGATCATTTGAGATGTTCAATAAGGATCATATAAACTAAGATCACATAACGCACACAATAGGAGGAGAGAAAAATGTCAGAAAAGCAAGCATTGATTTGATTTGTGGGATTTCACGTCCCAAAACCACGATATGATTATGAGAGACGCCGTAGTGGAGGGCTCCGGAAATTTCGGCCACCTGGGGTTCTTTAACGTGCACCCAAATCTGAGCACACGGGCCTACAGCATACTTGCCTCCATCAAATATGCAATTGCCGCAGCCGGGTTTCGACCCCGCGACCTGCGGGTCAGCAGCCGAGTACCTTAGCCACTAGGACATCACGGCGGGGCAGAAAAAGCAAGGAGAATCGCTGAAATGGGAGCGTTACAGAAATGTTTTTGCCAACTGGACGAATGTGCGCCGTCAATGCAGATGATGTTAGATGTTGGAAGGAATGTCGCTGCTGCAACCGAGTGGAGGAACTGAACGCCGACAAGAGGATACGAGAAACATAACAGAGGTTTATGACATTATTTACACATATTTACAGAAAAGCAAGGAATAGTGGTTTCACAAACCACGAGCGTGGTGGTTGAACGTTACATAGTTCAGAGCCCGATCTCCAGCACTCTGCCGCGTCGTTTTATGCCCTGTCGGGCTCCTCCTCTCAGAGTCGAACACCAATCACGCACACACAGGTGAGGGAGGCGAGCATGCAAGGTCCACGTGAACACTGCACGGTGGTGGCGCCAGCAGGGCTCTTCCGCGTCGTGTGTGTGCCGCCACTCGAGAGTTCCCACGATCCTGGCAGCATACTTCAAAGGGTCCGCCGATTTTGTTCGCTCAATTAGCGGGGTGATTTGCGGTGACCGTTGGTCTCCTTTAGGAAGGTGCTGTCTCTGTTGGCCTCTCTCGAATGGTTAGCGGCGTCTTGGCGACACGACGTCTCGCCCTCCGGCTAGCACGTACAATGCCTGACGAGCATAGGCTGTCAGCCGGTCGGCTTGGTGACTGGCGATCAAAAGGGAGCGCCGCTGCTCTTGTCAGCTCCGGCGCCGGCCACGCCAGCCCTCCTGTTGCCCGATGAGTCGCCGAGTCCATTAGTCACGCTGCTGCTCGAAGGGACGACCAAAGGGTCCACACTTGAAGGACGGGGCTCGCCTCTGCCCGCCGCCTGGTCTGGATAATCACTCAAATACTTGACAGCGTCCGTCAGACCGGGCGCCGAAGGGATTGAGAGACGAATCCCCAGGCCAAACCTAACAATGGGTAGTCTGAAAAATTGCGAGTCCGTCTCGGTAGAACAGTGGCTAGGGTGCTCGGCTGCTGACCCGAATGTCCCTGGCTCGATCCCGGTCGTGGCAGCGGTCTCAATTCGATGGAGGCGAAATGGCCCATGTACTTACTAGCACCAGGTGGTCGACATTTCTGAAGCCCTCCACTACGGCATCTCTCATAAGCATATCGTGGTTTTGGGACGTAAATAAAAACACCAGATATTATGAAAAACTGCCAGAATAATGTAGTAGAAGCAAATGCTTCTGGTTCAAGTGACGACAATTTAGGGCTAGGCAAGTGCTTCGAGCATACTGCGGTGTACAAGTTACACCTCAAAATTTCATTCACAACTTTAATTCTCACTTCTAGACGGCCTAAATTTACCCAGTTGTTACACTTCGGCTCTTTTTTTCAAGCGTCAATAAACATTGGGAAAGTGTTATCCAAACACCAGTTACAAAAAAGATTAGCGCACACTTTTCGATTGATATGTGGGGTTTAACGTCCCAAAACCACTGTATGATTATGAGAGACGCCGTAGTGGAGGGCTCCGGAAATTTAGGCCACCTGGGGTTCTTTAACGTGCACCCAAATCTGAGCACACGGGCCTACAACATTTCCGCCTCCATCGGAAATGCAGCCGCCGCAGCCGCGATTCGAACCCGCGCCCTGCGGGTCAGCAGCCGAGTACCTTAGCCACTAGACCACCACGGCGGGGCTGGCGCACACTTTTCGAGGATATCCTGATGCGGTTATTATCCAAACATATTAATTAGTTATGTACAGATACAATAACGTCAAACCAATTTCAAGTCTTTTTTTTGTGGCAAGTTTACATCTTTCGACATTCATTCATGTGGTCTTTCCACCCGTACAATCTTAACTCAGCAATATAAATATATTTATGATCGAAAGTAATTCGCCATCACTCATTATTCCTCATTTACCAACGTTGCCGTACACCACCGTGCCCTTGCGATTAATGTGTTAAGCTGCGCACTAAATGTCGGTGTACTAGAGTGTTCATGTGGGCCAGATCACCTGATACACAACATTTACCAGCGTAAAAAACAAGTTCGTGAACGAAGCCACCCCCTGAAGGCACCAAGACTAAACTGCCGGCGCATTCTGTGAAATAATGTCTTCTCTCTCTCTCTTTCTCTCGTGAACGAAGTTATCATAAAAGAACAAATAGAAGGCGGGTCACCTCCATAGAAGGTACTTTTCTAATTGCGGACGAAGTCACAATATACGCGCAGATTAGATTCAGCTAGTATGAGTGTGTTCAGATACTCACCGTAGACGGCTAAATAGACAGCTAAATGGACGGAGGCCATCTAAAGTCCCAGTCCAGCAAGGTGGCACGTTGGGCTAGTTGGATAAGGTTCATGATTGAAATTTTTTTCCAATTCTCACGAAGCCGGCAAAATAGACAGCTCCAAGAAGACCGCATCGTAGACAAATACGATGCAGGCTACTTTGCTGTCTAAACAAGATGGCGGCTCAGCGAATCACTCAGATAGATCGAATCTCACTTGAATGGTCATCTGCATACAAGCAGACGCTTCTTCAGACGCTCAATGTGAGTAACGTTTATTTTTTTTTAGATTTCAACACAAAATAGGCCAGAAAATACAACCGTTATGTTTGTTCATTTTGGCTTTCTCTTCTCGGCGCGAGGTGGCGCCTTGTCGCGTAAAAGCCGTCTAGACTTGTTCAACAATTTCCGGACAGCATGGGCTCGGTGCTGTCTTTTTAAGCAGTCTGCGTAGACTGTCCACGCGCTGTCTAAGAATTGGAACACACCCTATCGCAAATTCATTGAGTAAGACAGGGAATCAACTGTATATTCTATGCGGCATCGCCGTATATTTTTCTTTATGCACCTCAAAATTTAAGGCAATGCAAAGAGAAAAAAAATACGGCAATATTGCTAGAAAATGATCGTTGGGCGTCGCGCGCTCGTGGGAGTCACGAGGAAACGACAGTAACCCTGTAGAACTGCTACAGCTGCTTGCAGTCGCCTTACTAGTCGCAAGGACGACCTGACGCAGCTTCGGAGAACAAACAAGAGGAGGCTAGAGATTTGCGTGCCCGAACTACGCATCCTGGCCACATGCCTCGAAATACGAACAAGCAGGCAAACAGTGCTCACATTCGTCCTTGTCCTTGGCAGTGACCGTGATGACAGTGTGCTGCACATCCTCGTCCTCGTTTACCTCAGCCTCGTAGAGTGCCTGGCCGAAGTACGGCGGGTTGTCGTTCTTGTCGCCGATTCCAATGCGGATGTACTTGGTCACTGCACCATGGAAAGGACAAGCGTTTAGGTTGGGGGTGTCCAAAGAAAACAGCGTTGTATGTATCAATGGGCGGGAAATAGAGGGTGAACCAAATATCTCTTCTTTTTTGAGAACCAACAGAATTGCGCAGCAAAGAAAATATAAAAGAGCCACTTTTGGTCCGCAACTGTACACTTAGTGTGGATGATGGACACATTTGACAAACAACATGTTCATGAAGGAAGAAAGAAACGCAATAAAGATTAAAATGTATAATAGCTTTGTGGGTGTGGATTCCATAACATCCATGCCACCATGATGCCACGTCGCGTACTGCAGAACTAAGCCGTACACTCAATTCACCCCAATCTAAGTTATTTGACTTTGTTCTCCTTATTTAGACTGCCGCGCAGGGAAGAGAAATCCCTGCCTACAAGTACTGCATGCACCAAATGCGAGAGTGAAAAACAGAAAACATTCCCCGATGGGCCGAACCCGTTCATTAGGAGTATCCTTAATGCTGCTCTCGAGATAACAGGAGAGGGTTAAAAAAGGAACAATAACAAAAACAGGAATCGGTGCTTACTCCCCATCATGGCCAACCAAAGTAATTAACGCTCACGGATCGGCACGATACAAATGAAGCGACTCTTCGCGCCGCCGTCGTAAATCACTGCCAACCAAAACTCGGACGAACATTTCTCGCTGCTCCCAGAGAGTATTATCGCAAAAGGAGGCAGCACGCTTCATTTTCGCGCACACGGCGTGAAACCGGTTCGATGTTCGGCCCACCGATAGCGATAGGCAGGTTACAAACTAAGCGAGCCCGCACGGGGTGTTCGAGATAGCGAAGGAACTGGGCGCCGAATCATTACGAGATGCGCTTATCGCGCACGGCAGTCGGAGCCCCACCCAGCCACATGCGCCAGCCGGCGCAGGTCTGGCACCAGGTTCTCCACTGCGGTAACCCTCGACGATCGCGGCCGGCCATTACGCCAGGGCGTCTGCTGATCAAGTGAAGTGGGAAAGAACAAAACAGCGATTCAGAAACACAGCGCAGTCAGTTCTGCGAGAACCTGTCGTGAGCAGTCGCCCGCTGCCGCAGGAATATATAAGAGTCCTCAACGCCGATTGCTGTAGTAAATCAATGCTTCGGCGGTCACGGTGCACATGTACACTATAATAACATTTTTGCGTTGACACTAACAATATGCCTGCTTTAAAAACACAGACTGTCAAGCATTCAGCGGCGACCGAGGAGTTACTTGAATGTGGTTCCACGGAAAGACAGCGACGAGTTACCATGCGCCGTCATTAGGGTCATTCCACTTTGCGACCATCTCTAAAGTATTCTAAAAAAGCTGTGCTGATTTACTGCATTGAAAACAGTGAACTGCTACAATATTTCGGAAATGAAAAAAAAAAAGTTGGTTACGTGGCTGCCTTCTGAACTTCTTGGAATGTCATTTGAGTGTTGTTTGTGGAAAAATTTATTTTAAAAGTACCAAAAACATCGGAAGCAAGACATCGCTACTGATATTTTGCTAGTTAAGAGCGAGAATGACAGTAGCCAGTGCTAATGCGTTCGTAACGGCGACGGTATAGAAACGGTGACGAACCTGCCGTCACTAACCACTTACTAACGGGGTTGTCACATATGACATAGTCAATCGAGTAAGTGCAACTTTTTTTTAAGTGTACAGTGTCAGTATGGCTCTGGAAATTTCGACCACATGAGGTTCGCTAACGTGCCCTTAGGACCGTATTCACAAACCAACGTCATCCCAATCTCATGTTTTCCTGAAGTTTCTGTACACCTTATACGTGCGTTATTGTGACACAAGAACGGTAACTGGTTAAACTACACTATTGGTTTGCGAACACCAACATACTTTACCAGAAGCACTAAGAAAAAATAAGGCAAAAGAAAGATAAGGGTGAAGTTGGTTTGTGAAGGCGGGACTAAATCTAAGTACGCAGGCCTGAAGATGGAGCTTGCCAGGAGTTTCACTGACAGTGCATACACAAAAAACTTCCCGGAGAAAGAAAAACAAGGAAGAACGCGGCACTCTGCAGTGGGAAGCGAATGACAACATTCGTTCTGGTTCGTCATCACTAATGCAGCGCGGGCGGGATCCCATAACGAGGACGTGAGCGACAGAAATCTCCAAGCTGTAGCTGCAGACGAGTGAGCGGGACAACCAGAGCGAAAGGCGGACCTGTTGCGTACAATATTCGTCATCGGCGACAGCTTGCCTAAAGAGCGTCCCACGTGTTATCAGATTTCAGCACCATACCAAGCGGGAAAGGAGTGCTCCGCTAGGAATGATGAAAGTAAACAGACCCAACGGGGGCGCGCAGCGGCTTTCCTCGCGACAGCGGCTGCCAAACAAAGCCGGCTCCGGGCGCAAGCGGCCACGCCACGTCAACATTCTCGCAAACAAATCGACACCCCCGGCGGCGACATCTCAGCGAAACAGGGTCAATACAAACGCGCCGCCGCCGCCGCCGCAAAGTCCCGCACGCGGCACGGTACAGCCGTGGGACACAACTTGACAAAGGCGCGGCTGCCAAGGCTGCTGCGGCGAAGAAACGCACGTTTCGCAGAAGGAACCCACGTCGTTCCCCGTCGCGAGACACGCACCAGAGGCGTCGACAGAGGAGGGAGATGCTTTCAACACACAACGCCATGGATGTCAGGGCTCCCGCCATGTTGACCGGCGACTCTGAAGCGGCGGAAGTGCGGGGATAAGTGAATTTAAGAAAAACTGTCGATAAGGTCGTACGAGGAGCATACAAAGGCAGTGAGATGTGCGACTGAAAAACGATAAAAGGTGCCACACGTCACAATTACAAGATAACCATACCTCGCGTGAACTTTAAGCTATATCAAGCAGAAATGCGCCGCACACAAACGTAAGTATCGTCATTTCGGCACATGATAGCTATCGTCGGAATACATAAAACGGGATAGACAAATCAACGCGGAGTCAATATTGAGTTTCTTACGGAGACATATATAACAAGATATACAATCGAGGAACTTCAGCTGCTCTAATAATAATAATAATAATAATAATAATAATAATAATAATAATAATAATAATAATGATGATGATGATAATATTAATAATAATAACAATAATAATAATAATAATAATAATTTATGGGGCTTTTAAGTGCCAAAATTACGATGCAATCATCAGGCACGCCTCAGTGGAGGCTCCAGAAATTTCGACCACCTGGTGCTCTTTAATGTGCACTAACAAAGCACAGTACACATGCATTTGGGATTTCCCCTAGGTCCTCCGCCCACCAAAACACAATGTTGCCAGACGACAATGCCGCACTGTCACGCCATATTGTGGCCCGGCCCGGCCTGCGTGTACGCCTGCTTCCATTTCATCCTCATGAATACGGCTCGGCGTCGGCGTCAACACAAAGCAGTAGATGCATCAAGCGTGAAAAGTGTCCGTCGGTTGCGTCCAGCGTCGGTGTCAACACGAAACGGTAGATGCATCAAGCGTGACATGTAACAGTCGGTGTCGTCCTGCGTCGGCGTCAACTCGAAGCAGTAGATACACGAAGTCCCAGGTAGCACAAAAAAATCACAACATATTCACGAGGTGAATGATGACGAGTGGGGCGAAACGGACGGACGGACAGTTACGTTTCGAGCTTGATGCATGTAACGTGTTGACGCCGACACTGGACGACGTCACCAACGGTTACTTTTTGAGCTTTGCATGTAACGTGTTGACGTCGATGCTGGACGCCACCGACGGTTACGTTTCGAGCTTGATGATTGTAACGGGAGGCGTTGGTATAACGTGTTGACGCCGACGCTGGACGATGCCACCGACGGTTACATTTCGCACTTGATGCATCTAATACTTCGTGTTGACGCCGACGCTGCTGGACGCCACCGACCTCTCCTGTCTGATGAGATGTATCGGAGGTTTTAGCCTTAATAAGGTTTTAGCCTGAAAAGGGCCTTTGAAAGTACACTGCAAGTCACTAATAATCTTGCAGATCACGAGTAGCGGAGGGGTGGGGGGTGTACGGCTAGCCCCAAAATGGCGGCGCACAAAAAATTACGTTAAATTTGGCGAAAGCTGGCAACAGGGTGCCCGATTGCTCGCTGATTTTGGCTGAGTTGTTTAGGGCACTTTTTGTGATGCCTCCACCCTTAAAAATCTGGTCATGTAGGCTCCCCACTACCGACGATATTGTGCTGCCACCAGACAGTGGTTCTGGAAACATGAGCATGGAAGTGTTGGGAAACATGAGCACAAGCTTACGTTTACCGGGACCACTGCCACATGGCGTCCACATTTCACGCAGCGCCTCCATTTTATCAATGCCAGCCAGATGCGACCTATTCCACACAGAGGAGGTACAGTCTGAAGCAATGGAAACATAAATGATGAAATACAACCCACTCGATACGAGGCATGCTCCAGGACTCATGTAGTACGGCCGGCAGAAAACTATAGCCTTTTTTCAACGACCTTTCAGACAAAGCACGCAGATGTACTGAGCCTTTATTTTTTTGTTGTTGTTGTCGCATTCACCCCATAAGTGATGAAGACATACAGAGCGCTTATCACATTTCAGCAAGTTGTTGACTGACAGAATTACGTGAGTCCCGATATTGCATCGGATTTGTCAAACGCTTGGCGATACCGAAGTGTAAACTACTCGCAAGATTCAACCGCCTTTCGGTGATGATGCCACAAGCATCTTTCGGATAATGGAGGGGCAAAACATCTCAATGATCACAAAACATCAATAGACAGCAAACCACCTTCCGACTGCGACAGCCCTGATCACCATTACTATACAAGCATTCCAGATGTGCTTCTAACAATGGCGGGAGCGCTGACAGAGGTGTGCGTGCATTACCGAGGAGAGTAATTTGAAGTTAATTACTGCTGTTTACCTTGCAATAAGTAAATGCATTTCCGTCGAGCAAAAGCTCCATACTTTTTGAACACACCCCGTATATGATTAGCTTATG